CACCAAAATAATAATGAGGATGAGGATGATGATGATGATGATGATAATGACATAACCCAAACCCCTAATATGCGCTTACTAACAGTGTGAGTTGAATCTGAGTCTCTGCTTCAGCTCTTCAGTGGTCACTCTTTTAAAAACTCTGGTAGAAAAATTCTCACAACCTTCCCCTTTATCTTAAAAGACTGTCTGCTGTAGACTTTACCAGCAAACACAGAACTCGACTTCTCAGTGTTCATTCTGATCTCTTCCACCAACTAGCCATACCATTGTGGTCAGGATGAGAGATACAAGTATCTTCCATGGCCTTAAAATATGGATAGAATAAGGCAATATTGGTGGGATCTACGCAGAACCCCCAGAGTCTATGCTGTTAAGAACAGACTTAATATACTGGACTTACTCTAGGGATGTTATTTAAATGATGAAATGTTAATTCCATTAATGCACTTTATTATGAAAATTGATAGGAAACATTTCTCAGTAATTCCACTTTTCATAAGAGCAATGATGTATGTTCCACTCTTTGTTGGCTGCACAGAAAGTTTAGAGTCAAACGATGGACCTTCTTCCTACACAAGTAATGAGGCCCTCACAGCATGTTGTATTCGCATTACTTGTCTTTAGGGTTTGAAGGGCTAATAAATAATGCCCACTTGCCCCTGCTTACATTCTCAACTAATTAAGGAAGAGACATCAGACACAGGCAGACAAAGCTAAGTGTCAACTTTTGTAATTAAAGCTCTGAGGGAGAATGGAGCTTGCATGGCCCAGGGCAGCGCCATATTTGTGAAGATGTGAACTCTGAACAGGGTGCACTTGCCTTGGGGAGGGGAAGGACTTCCTCGCACCTTCTTCCAAAGTCACAAATGCACAACCCTAGCCACAATACACTTGGCCTTCCTCGCTGAAAGAGGAGAAAGGGCAAGAGACCAGGAACAACACGACTCTGAGAAGAGGATCTTTCTGTGGAGATAAGGAAACAATTACCCTCAACCCTTTTTTTTTTGGGGGGGGGTCTGGTCATGGAGCCTGAACTCTGGGCCGGGAAGCTGTCCTTCATCTCTTCAGCTCAAGGCTAGCGCTCTACCACTTGAGCCACAGTGCCACTGCCGGCTTTTTTCTTTTTGCTTATGTGGTGCTGAGGAATCGAACACAGGGCCTCACGCATGCAAGGCAAGCGCTCTACCACTGAGCCACCTTCCCAGCCCCCCTTTTTATCTTTTTTCTCTTTATTGTTTGCTTGTGTTGCATTGTGTGTGAGTGTGTGTGTGTGAGTGTGTGTGTGTGTGTGTGTGTGTGTGTGTGCTGGTACTTGGATTTGAACTCAGGGCCTCATGTTCTTGCTTGGTTTTTCACTCAAGAATAGTGCTCTATCCCTTGAACCATACCTCTGCCTCTGACTTTTGTCAGGTTAATTGGAGATACAAGTCTTACATTAACTTTTCTGCCCAGACTGACTTTAAACTTGGACCCTCTGATCTATGATTACAGGCCTGAGCCAGCAGTGCCCAGCTTCCTGTTTTCTTTAATACCCTAATTTTCTCTTGGCCTTGTTCCCCCAACTATTCAATGGCATGCAGGTTTTTGTAATAATAATAATTTGAAAATGGGACAGTTTGACCCAAGAAATTTTATAATTTTTAAATCAAAGGAATTATTTATGAGATAACAAATCTCAACCCAATGATTTTCCTTTGAGACAAAGTCTTGATATGTTGTCCAGGCCTGCTTCCTCCTAGGTTTAAGTGATTCTCCCACCTCAGCATCCAATGTAGAATATTCTGAGAGAAATGGCCTGGAGGAAACGGTAAACGAGTGGACTCGTTTTTTCTCCTGCCTCTCAATGGTTTGTTGGCTCAGTGGTAGAGCGCTTGCCTTGCATGCATGAGGCCCTAAGTTCAATTCCTCAGTACCACATAAGCAGACAAAAGCCGAAGTGGTGCTGTGGCTCAAGTGGTAGAGCACTTGCCTTGAGCTGAAGAGCTGAGGGACAGTGCCTAGGCCCAGATTTCAGCCCCCACTACCTACCAAAAAAAAGAAAAAAGAAAAACCTTTTTATGCTGGGTCTGCCATCCAAGAGATGTTGTTACTGTTTTAAAACTAAAAAGGAAGGGCTGGGAATGTGGCTTAGTGGTAGAGTGCTTGCCTAGCATGCATGAAGTCCTGGGTTCAATTCCTCAGTACCACGTACACAAAAAAAGCTGGAAATGGTGCTGTGGCTCAAGTGGTCGAGTGCTAGCCGTGAGCAAAAGAAACTCAGGGACAGTGCCCTGGCCCTGAGTTCAAGCCTCAAGACTGGCAAATAATTATAAAAATCAAAAGGAAGACCTATGCTACGACTCTGAACACGACTTACCAGTGATTAGCTAGAGCTTATTCCTGCAGAGAAGGTAGGTATGAAAAACTGTTCCATTGTGAACCCATTTTGGAAGGGTCTATGCCAAATTCTTTAAACAAAATTCTAAAACTGGTAAACTGGTATATCCAAACTCATTGTGCCTTTCAAAAGAGTCAGTTTAAAAGGGCCATACTCTTATTTCAATGGGACCATCACTACTCAGTAAGTTTTCTTAATACCTTTTTAGAATGACAATTGGAAATAGAAAGTATTCAGGTACCCTGAAAATTGGAAAATGTGTGTTCTGGTGAATTTAAGTTGGGAAGCAATTATTTAGAATTGTATGTAGTAAATCATATACTTACTCAGTTTAGTTACAAACTTTTAAAAATAAGAATGGCAAAAGGCTAGATAGGAAAAAAAATGTTTATGATCTTGGACCAGGCAGTCATTTATTAAGTATAACACCAAAAGTACAAGCAACAACAAAAAGATAAATTGGTCCTCATTAAAATTAAGAACTTTAGCATACCAAAGAACACCATCAACACAGTGAACAAACACCCTCCTAAATCAGGGAAAGTATTTTGCAAATCCTATGTCATATATATATGCCATATCATAAGCCACATATGCCATATACATATACATATGTATGTATATGTATGTAGAATATCCAAAATATGTAAAGAACTCTCTTACAATTCAGCAAAACAACCCAATTCTAAAAGGAACTGAGGACTTAAATACAGAAGACACAAATGGCCATGAAGTACATGGAAAAAAATCATTAAAAAAAAAAGACATTAGCATGGTATCACTACTCGTTATAGAAATAAAAACTCAAACCACAAGATACCACTTCACATCTCTTACTGGGATGAGTATAAATTAAAAAAGAAGAAAGAAGACAAAGAAAAAGGAAAATAGCAATTGTGAGAGGATTTGGAGACATAGGGCCCTCCACACTACACTCATAGGAATGTAGAATTGAGCAAGCAACCAATAAGTAAGTAAAGGAAAAGCTATATTAAGAGCTGAAAATTCTCTTCCTAGATGTGTACACCCAGAGCCTTGGAAACATGGTCTCAAAGAGATGCTTATATGCAAATCTCCATTCTGATAGCCAAGAATGAAAATACCTGGTGTCTTTCAGTGCATGAGTGGATAGAACTGCAGTATATCCATACAATGAATGTTACTCAGTTATAAAAAGGAATGAAATACTGATCCACCTGTGAAAATACTGTGCCAAGTGAAATAAGCCAGACACAAAAGGACAAAACATTGTATGATTCTAAGAGGCAAATTCGTAGAGATAGAGAGTAGATGGAACAAGGAGAGGAGCTGGTTGGGAGGCATTGTGTAGTGAGTACAGAGTTTTTGTTCAAACTGATGAAAAGTTTTGGGAAATAATGGTTGATGGTTGTATGATACCATGGGTGTAATTAATGCCATTAAATTATACAGGTTAGGCCAGGGGCTGGTGGCTCACGCCTGTAATCCCAGCTACTCAGGAGGCTGAGATCTGAGGACTAAGGTTCAAAGCCAGCCTCGGCAGAAAAGTCCTTGAGACTCTTATCTCCAATTAATTACCAGAAAACCAGAAGTGGCACTGTGGCTCAACGTAGTAGAGCACTAGCTTTGAGCAAAAGGAACTCAGACATAGTTCAAGCCCTATGACTGAAAAAAATAATTATACACTTTAAACCAGTTAAAATCATATAAGATTTTTAAATTAAAAATTAAGTATATAAACAGCATTCTATTTTTCTTCTTTAAATTTTCTTGTAAATGTGATGTACAAGGGATTAGTTACATAAGTCAGGTAATGAGTATACTTCTTTTTGAACAGTGTCACCCCCCTCCCTCATTTTCTTCCAGTTTTTCCCCTCCGACACCACTCCCCACCCCACATTGTGTAGTTCATTCCCCACATAGTATAACATTTTATTCTTAAGCATGAGTAGAACATTAAATAGGTTTTACTACATATAACCCAGTTTTTAAAAAATCAGTTAAAGGAAGTGGCGCTGTAGCTCAAGTGGTAGAGCGCTTGCCTTGAGCTGAAGAGCTGAAGGACAGTGCCCAGGCCCAGAGTTCAAGCCCCACGACCGACCAAAAAAAAAAAATCAGTTAAAAATGACCTTCTAAAATTCTAACAGTCCTTCTAGATCCTGTCTCAAATTAGACTTTATATATCCATAGTTTCATTTTTTGTGTGTACTAAGATTGCTATATAGGGGTGAGCCAGCTCATATGTACCTCTTTCAGAAGACAAAGCCCTGTATTCTTGTGTCAGGAAAAAGAAGAAACAGGGAGGCTTTGCTGTTCCGAAGGATGTATAGCTTAACTAGGAGTTCACACCTTAGAGTTAGAAATAAGTTGTTACCTACCACAACTGAATTGTGGTCCAAACACAGGGTTCATGGTCTGCTAGAGGGAATTAGCTATTTGTGTTTGATGCTGACAGCTAACAGTAAGGGAAATTTTGCCACATATGTCAGGGCATCCTTCCACCTCCCCCCGCCCCCCCCCGCACCTTCTTGAGCTTGGATGTCATTTCTTTCTGCCTGTGTGAGGTAGTAGGCCTGCAGCTGGTCGCCTTCATTCATTTTAGGCCACAGCATTGCTCATGTACACTCTGGTTCTTTTGCAGAGCATAGGAAACTTGGAAACATGACTGTGACCGTGAAGAAGACTGTCCCCTCTCCCGAGGCTGTGCAGATTCTCTACCAGAGAATGAGGTACGAGTATGAGTTCTACCACTACGTCAAAGAGCAGTTCCACCTGCTGAAGCGCAAGTTTGGACTGAAGTCTCACGCGAGCGGGACCCCTCCAAGACCACAGTTCTTCATCCCCACGCCCCTGGAGACTGAAGAGCCCATCGATGACGAGGAGCAGGATGATGAAAAGTGGCTAGAAGATATTTATAAGAGGTGATGCCAGCCCTGTTGTTGCCTCCATCCATGGCTTTATCTCCCTTTTCCAGAAAATTCTTTGGGGAAGAAAAAAAATCCTGAAGGGACTTAAATTAATGCTCTGTGCATTAAAGAAAACAAGACATTCCCACATGTTGGGGGTCATTGGGAGATGCCCGGTTTTGCGGGTTTTGTTGGTTTAATTGTATTCTGTGTGTGTTTTCCTTCTTCTTGATTCCTTGAGGCTTTCCCAGATGCAGTAGATGGGTCCATCACAAAGCACCTGTTCCTCTCAAATAGTCTTCCCTGGCCCTCATGCACCCCCATCTGATAACACAAGAGAAAGAAATCTATCTCACAACCCAATAGCTGATCATTTGTAAAATGACTTGTAAATGACTTGCAATCTCAATGGTAGAAGACATCCACCTTTGTTTGTTTCAGCGCCCAGGGAATCCCCTCTAGAAGGATCTAAGAGAAGACAGAACCTCAATGGGAGGAGACAGAACCTCAATGGGAGGAGGGCCCTGGGTACCCACCTGGTAGAATTCTTCCTCTGGTCCCTCTCGGGGGACACTAACACCCTGAGCAGAATACTTACCTGTGAAAGGACAAGCTGTCTATGGCACTCACATTTCCAACCAATCAGAGCCTGGAGTACCTTTCAAGGTCAAAGTGCTTGGGAAAACCCAGTGAGAGATCCCACTTCTAAACAAGATTCTGATGGACTCCAAAAGAGTGTAGTAGAGCAAAGAATTCATTTGATGTTAGGAGGACTGTGGGCAGAACTGAGCAAATCTAGGGGACCCATGCCAGCGGAGAAAGGGCCTCATCTGTATTCCTTGTATCAGAAGCATCTCAGTCCACTACACTGCTTCAAGTGGAAGTCCTGCAAACTAATTTAGCTCTGCTATGGATTGCTGTAGCAATCAGTCAATCATGAGCACACAGGTAGTGCATAATCTCTCATGTCCGCCCAAGGTCAAGTTGGTCTTAACAAACACCTGATGTCTTTCATCATATGCCCCCCTACAAGGTAGATGTTTCATTTAACAAGGGGCCTGAGTCATTGGCAGAGGCAGTAGAATTCAGTCTCTCTTATGGAACCTGTTGCTCTTGTGAGCTCTTACCAAGGGTATCAGAGACAGAAGCACGGGGACTTGTGGATAAGATGCTGCTTGCTCAGCTTTGTGACTAGGTGGTAGTTCTCGTGTGGTGAGAGAGATGGTAAGCAGTTCCATCACCCCCAGACATCTCTCTGACTCCTCAACCATGCCCTGGTTCAGTCATTAGAAATATGCCCCTTTAAATTCTGAAATGTTTTCACCTTTAAAAAAAATCTCCTAAACACACACATTCACCTGGGTGTGGATAAAGTCTAGCTAGCTGAGAAGCTGGGGTGTGGTGGGGGCAGCAGGAAGGGTACAACAAATGTGTCTGCTCCAACAGACCTCAAAGAATCCCAGCAAAGCCAGTTGGGAGTATTTGGTAATTAAGACTCTGACTTTATTCAAGGTACACATTTTCTACTTTTCAGAAACGAGTAAGTCTCTTAAAAAAAAAAAACATTTTTTTTTTTTTGCTTCTTTCACTAAAACTGGAAAGCAGCCAAGATACAGAGCAAGTCCTTTGGAACCTGCCAGGTGGGCACTGAAGTTCCTTTATTATGGGGTGTATTGAGGTTCCAACCCATAAACCTCTACAGTAAATGACCACCACAAAATAGACCAGCACTGGGCTACTTGTAATCCTCCTTTCTGCCTGTCTTAGGGTAGAGAAGTAAATAGGACAAATATGCACAGAGGAAAAAAAAATATCCTCTGTCCCATGCAAAGCCAGCAGGGCCGCTCCAAGAGGTGTACTTTAAAAGGCAACCTAGAAAACAGCTATCATATTCCAAACCAGTCCAAGCACGGCTGCCTGCTACTTTGGGAGTCATTTCTACAGCACTGCATATAAACGATGGATGATTCGTTTACACACTGTTCAATCTCAGGACCAGAAAATCAAGTAGTATTGGCTAACTCTTCCTCTGCTGTGTGAACAGCAGGATGCCTGGTTCCTCAAGAAATTCATCCTCTTTGTGCAAAGTTGAGGGGTACTTCTTCCTGTGGGCTCAGCGGCGTTTATTTCAGCAATGATCATTGTCAGTTCCCAGCAGCAGATGCCAACCAGTTTACCTACAGAACTTTCCTGTTCTTCTGTCCCCACGAGATCCTGAAAGTCCAGGCACTTCCTCAGCTCATTTGGGCACCCATGACATTCCTTGGCCATGAGCCCAACATAGTTGGTACTTCATGAAATATATTGTACATTTTACATAGTTTAATTTAAAAAATACATTTTAAGCTAGTTGATCTTTGACTGCCTTATTTATTATAACCTTTCAGCACATTCCAAGGTTTTAGTTACTCAGGAAGGAGTTAATTAAAATGATTTTATTTTGGTCTGATGGATGTTTTTTAAAAGGAAAATTATTATGAACCCTCAGCCGACTTTTCTTGAGTACTAGAAAAGTGCTTGTAAATCTTTTTTTTAAGAATGAAAAAAAAATGATGTTTGACATTGATGGAAATCCAAAAATATATATATATGGAACTGAAGCATTAGCTTAGCTAAAATAAAAGCAATCCGTGTTTGAGATGAAGTGTTCCTTAATTTATTCATTACCCATACAAATAAATAAATATAAAGAAGTTGACACTTTTTTCCACTCTGTTAATAGCTGAAACTAATCATATGTAGAGAGTACCTCATAGCCTTCTTAATTGGAAAAGCTTTTCTCTTCAAGATGATTCTGGAAAGATGAGTTTTGAAAATTTATCAACTTTCATTCTTATAAACTACATGACACTAAAAAATCTTACTGGAAAAAAAGAGCTAATTATTTCTTCATCAAGTTTATAAAATATAATACATTAAAAATATAAAATAATAAACAATTGGTTTTATTGGTATTTCCACTGGTTGGGCTGGTGTCAGATGCTTCATTGATTATCTACAATAGTGTAAGAAAGGAACAGTACTCTACATCTCTCAGTATATAAACTATTCTACTTCACAAACACACAGCCTCAAAAGCTGGTGCAAGTGGTTGGTCTTGACCTAGAAGTGCTTGCCCTGCAAGCAAAAGGAAGGAGAGAAAGACAATCTCCATTCTTTCTGAATGTTAGAGACCATGTTCCTTCCTGCCACTTGTGACATTTTGTAAAATAGAAGAATTAAAATCTTGGTATTAAGTGAAAGAAAACGCTCTTTTGGCAATAACATGATTTATTTTGAAGAATAATCTAATCGCTATAGATAGTCACTAGTGCCTCTTATCATTTAATGTGTTCTTCTATAGCCCAGTCAAGTGGCTGAATGATATTTAAAGCAAAAGTATTAAAAAAAAAAAAAAAAAAGGCTGCCCGGTGCCGGTGCTAGCTACTCAGGAGGCTGAGAGCTAAGGATCACGGTTCAAGGCCAGCCCAGGCAGGAAAATCCATGAGCCTCTCATCTCCAATAAACCACTAGAAAACCGGAAGTGGCACTGTGGCTCAACCAATAGAGTGCTGGCCTTGACCTGAAGAGCACAGGGACAGTGCCCAGGCCCAGAGTTCAAGCCCCAAGACCCCCCCCCAAAAAAAAAGCTGAGTTAAGCCCCATCTGATGTTGCTCAGTTGGCTTCAAGTTGAGTTTTTTTTATAGATGTGTCACTACCCACAATTTTATGCAGTGAGCTATTTGCCTTTAAGTGAATGTTGTAGATAACAGCAGTATTTCTTCAAGAGGTGTTCTGGAATGATAATCCATAGCCATTATGATAATCATTCTATGGGTCAAATGTGAAATTCCTTTCAAGAAAATAAAGGACTTAATTTACTAAAACCATTTACTTTGTATCTGATAGCAAAGAAATCTATGAAAAACAAAATACTTAGCCTATTCTAGGCTAATATCAGTATTAAAGTTCTGTTTAAAAAAGAAAAAAAATCACATTGAAGCCAGGTGCTGGTGGCTCATGCCTGTAATCCTAGTTACTCAGGAGGCTGAGAGCTGAGGACCATGGTTCAAAGCCAGCCTAGGCAGGAACATACAGTGAGGCTCTCATCTCTGATTAACCACCAGAAAATCAGAAGTGGGACTATGGTTCAAAGGGATAGAGTGCTAGCCTTGAGCGAAAGAAAAAGCTCAGGGATAGCACCCAACCTCTGAGTTCCAGCCCTGTGACAGACAAAAACAAAGTCACAATGAACTTCCTTCATAGTGCAGAAGAGGTGTTCTCAGAAGGCCCAGTGTTGTAGTCTACTTGGATCTATAACCAAGAACCACAGGCTCCCACAACAGGAATTCTTTCCTCACAGCTCTGGATAGAGGCTGAAGTCTGAGATTAAAATATGTGCCCATACACTGATTTCTTCTGAGCCCTCCCTCCTTGGCTGGCTGATGTCTGTCTTCTATTTGGGTCTTCACATGGACTTCTCACGTCCATATGAAATCACACATCTGTGTCCAAGTTTCCTCTTCTCAGAACCTCAATCATAAGAGTATTGGACCTACCCTAAAGACCTCCTTTTAATCTTCGTAAAGACCCTTTTTTCCAAAGACCACATTCTACATTGCTCATTATGATTTCAGCAAGTGAGGTGGGGATTTTTTGTTTTGTTTTTGTTTTGTGTTTTTGTCCTTTTTTTTTTTTTGCCAGTCATGGGGCCTGAACTCTAGGCCTGGGCACTGTCCCTCAGCTCTTCAGCTCAAGGCTAGTGCTCTACCACTTGAGCCACAGTGCCACTTCTGCCTTTTTCTGCTTATGTGGTGCTGAGGAATCAAACCCAGGGCCTCATGCATGCAAGGCAAGCACTCTACCACTGAGCCACCTTCCCAGCCCCAGCAAGTGAGTTTTGAAGGGACACAATTCATCTCATCATGCCCAGATTGCAGCAGAAAAGTTCCAGCAAAGGAACTGAGCCCCCGATCTGACTCCAGAGCTGCAGGGAAGTTGAGTGTAGTGGTCCTGGCCATTGCTTCAGTGGACAGACAGAAAGCCAAGATTGAGAGGAAAGACAAATAATACATCATAAGCCAATGTTTTTCATGGAACTTCTGAGCATCTAATGAACTAGAATTTTAAAACAATGACACAGCCACAGTTTATCTACTGACTGATCTAGAACATGAGTTGGAAAAGGCATGGCATAGCCAGCCACACCCAGGACCAAATTGAGGTTTTGTGAGCTCTTCTGGGAGACAAGCTAGCTTGGTCACCTAATTTCTTTTCGTTCTTTCTTCTTTCTTCCTTTCTTTTTTCTTTTTCTTCTTTCTTCCTTTTACTTTTCTTCCCTTCTCTTTTTTCTTTCTCCTTTCTCTTTTTCTGCCTTCTATTCTTTCTTTCTTATTTTCTTTTTGTGGGGCTTGAACTCAAGGCCTGGTCACTGTCCCTCAGCTTCTTCTCCAGGATCTATCACTTGAAACACACCTCTACCTGCTGGTTAATTAGATATAAGAATCTCTTGAATTTTTCCATCTAGACTGGCTTTAAACCTTGATCCTTACATTCTCCTGAGTGAAGATTACAGGCTTGACCACCAGTGCCCAGTTGGCTACCACCTTCTTTCTTGAGGCGAGGCCCTAATGATTCTCAATCACTTAAATCCTCTAGGACAGACACAATAAACATTTTCTTCTGGAATTATCTCAGTACTTAAAGGACACAGAGAGGTTCCTGATTCCTAGTAAATATATTTGATGCCTATTTGCCCATCTCAGATTGTAGACTTACTTCTCCTAAAGGCAAAAATGAAGATTCCAGCCCTGCTGCTTATGAAGTTACCACTGAACTCACCTCAAAAATTAACAGTGAAAATCCAGCTCATAAAACTAGTGGAAGTCCAGTGCAGACATGCTCCTGGAACTGGAGATGAACAGGCCCTGAGCCCTCCCAGGCTCACCGACTCTTTCCCTCACTGGAGAATTCCTTTCTGCCTAGGGCAGGCTTGGCTCACCCTTCCATCTCCACCAATTCCCAAGGAACACCCAGCCCCACAGATGTTCATGGGTCACAGGACTGTGAACTGTCCACTGTGCACTTTGGATTTCAATGTATAAACATGGGGATTCCCTTTAAAAAAAATAATAAAGGTTGGGGGAAGGGTAGAGAAGAGAAAAATCACCATGCAGAGGAAAAATGTGATCTCAGTTTTTCCTCTTGGAATCTTGGCGGGTGAGTTTAGCTATCTTCAATCTGGCTTTCACCAGACACTGTATACTTCGAGCAGGCGTGGAGCCATCTGCCCTTGGCTGGGTTGCCAGAACATTCAGACTTGACCTGTAACACGCCTTTTATTCCAGTCATGAGAAGAGACGGCCCAGAGCATGGTCCTGCCAAACTCGGCATGCTGGCTGGCTGAAGAGAAGGCTCAAACCAAGATTCAGAACAACTAACTAATAAGGGCTGTAGTCCAGGGAACAGTCCTGAGTTCAAATTCCAGCTGGTGTTGCACCCAGTGTTGGATTAAATCTCTTGACTTCCCATGCCTGGAGTCAATGCAGCTAGGACACACTAGAGCACCACTGAAATCGAAGAGCTGCTCTGGGATGGACCGTTCCCACCTTTCACCATGAATACCAATGAGGAATCTGTTCTAGCCACCGAATCCTGCCTGTTCCCCTAGCTGGGGAGCATAGATTACACATAATTCTGGGTCTACTGATGCCCCATCCATTGCATCTACAAGTTGCCCCACAAGTCCAGCAGAAATCAACACTTGTGAAATGTGAACTGAGCTCAAAGGGACAGGCACATGAGATACAGAAAATCTCACTACACATGAGATACAGAAAAGTCTCGCCCTGAGGAATGGAGTAGATTCCCACTTCCTGGGCTGTGTACTATTCTGTGTACCATGCTTTTGTCCTTTTTGCAAACCTTTTCTGGAAGAAGTTTGTTCCATTGTGAGTTACAGGATTCATCACTAGTTTACAACTTGGTCTAGATACAGACTTCTCTAACTTCTAACAAACAAACAAACAAACCTTGTGTAAGCTGGTGCTGGTGGTTCACACCGGTACTCTTAGTTACTTAAGAGTAGGTTGAGGTCTGAGGATCACAGCATGAAGCCAGCCAGGGCAGAAGTCTGTGAAACTCTTGTTTTTGTTTTTTTTCCTGTAGTTTTTAAAACTGTTATTATAAAGGTGATATACAGTTCCATAAGTCAGGTAATAACTTTTTTTCTTTTTCAACAGTGTCACCCCTTCCTTTGATCTTTCACAATTTCAGAGAGACACTTATCTCCAATTAACTATCAAAAAGAAGCCAGAAGTAGTGCTGTGGCTCAAATGGTAGAGCAGTAACCTTGAACAAAAAAGCTCGGGGACAGCACCCAGGCTCTGAGTTCAAGGCCCAGGACTGACATACAATGAACTCTGTGCAATAATAATAATAATAATAATGTTATTGTTATTATTAATAATAATGAGACCAAACATCCATGTGATTAGTGCTGGAAAGGTTTGGATAAAAGTGGATAATCTGGTGGGATGAATGCTGTCCTTTAAAATCTTGTCTCTCATTCTAGGAATTAGCGCTGTGACTGAGTAAGGATAGTGCAGTAGTGATTTTGTCAGCTGGCAATACCTTCAGCATGGTTCGCCACTTTGACC